TTATACATAGATGTCAATGAATTTTTCAAGTATATTGTGTGTGTCCCGCGCATGTACATTGCGTCAAAATGACGGGAAAAAGGTAGAGTGAGGGAGGCAGAACAATGGGGGGAGGGGGGGGGGGTGCTGGGTACGCACACCTGACTCATATTACAAGTGCTCGGCGTGGCGGCGCAGCAGCATGCTCAACTTGGCTTTCCCTCTCTTTGTTAGCACCCCTCACGCACGTGATTGCTGCAGGTACCCCTCTGCTGTATGCAAGCAGGAAGGGATGAGAGAGAGAGAGAGAGAGAGAGAGAGAGAGAGAGCGAGCGAGCAAGAGCGAGCGAGCCCAGCGGGGGGTACATACAGTTTGCCAGTTTGGCGCGAGTTGGTGCGGAAACTTGATGACGCGCGTTTCTCTGGGCGGCTATGCGCGCTGCGCGTACGGAAAATATTTTATTTTTAACAAGAGGTTTCGTCTAGCTGTGTAGCGCAACTTGTGATTGGGTCAAACAGAGCGCATGCATACGCCTTGCAGTACCGGGTACTGGACAAGGAAGTCTTGCACTCTCGACTGCACGAATTGACCTATCCTACTCTTGCATTTTCAGAGCAAAGCAAACCTGAGTGTGTGAATGTCGCACACTTGCGTATAATAGAGGCGTGTAAATCTCGATTTGTGTTCATCCAAGTGTGAGGAAATTCTAAGGATATTATTCTCACATTGACTTGTAAAAAATAGTGTGCGAATGGGAATTTGCACCCCTGCAAGTGTTAGCCAGTTTGACATTCAGACATATTTGGGTTTTTAGTGTGTGTGCATCATGTGTGTACTCAAGTGATCCGCGGCTAGAGGCGATTAGAATTGCGCGAGTTTTGTATGGATGACGCCCTGCTGCACTGGAGCAGCCACGGGCTTTGGACGGGGCCTTTGCTGCCGTGTCACACCCGGGGCCGGACAAACACACAGCACAGACGTCACACACTGCGGCAGCAGCCTTGGGAGCTCTGTCCAAGAACAACATGGAGTACAACGAGCGCGCACGACATGCAGGCCAAACATTTCAGTTTCCTTTCCGAACCTCTGCTGCGGCAGCAGTCATCCAGCAGTGAACTTTGGTAACGCACACACACTCACACTGTGGCGAGCTCACCTGAGGAAGCAGCCAGCGTGTCGCCTTCTGGGAACCCACACACACACACACACACACAGTGCGTGTCACCCTTGTCGGGAGGCCCCTTAGGGCGTGTTGGACATCCTTGGCTCCCGCGTGAACTCCCGGCGGCCCGGGGGCCCCGCCTGTTTGGAGAGCTGCTTAGTACCTAACAAGGGGGCTTAGGCAAGTGTAAATTCCCGATCTTGCCCAAACTCGGTATATTTGTTTCTTATCTATGTTGATGACGACTGACGGTAGTATTTTTTCCTGAGTGTCAATTTCTAGGGTACTTTAGGGGAGGCAATAATGGAAAAAATATTGAATTTGGGCCAAAAATGACGGAAGGAGGTCTCAAATCGAAAAGTTGCAGAGGAACTACCCCCCCAAAACCGCTCATTTTGAGTCGGAATATCACTTAATATTTGTACAAAAGTAGAAATTTGTATTTTTGAAATTATACGCTATTATACGGCTTTTATAGGGAGTTTCGGCACATGACTCTCAGGAAAAAATTTGGTCGGCATTCGTCACCTACATAGATAAGAAGCAAATATACCGAGTTTGGGCACGATCGGGAATTTACACTTGCCTAAGTTCCCTTGTAAGTGAGCACTGTGTGCCTTCCATGATTGACCTGCGTCCGCGCTTGTGAGCACCCAAACGAAACCAGCCTTCTGCACGCAGTTGTGTTTTTAAAAGAACCCTTCTAAAAACACAGCGCATGGGAAATTATTATAATGAATCCTTTATTGAATAATCGTAATGTTTTTTAGTACCTTCGCGGGGCGGTAAGAAGATATTTCTAGCACATTATAAGGCGATGCCTAAGCTTCACGATCTTTATTACTCCTAACCCCTTTTATTTTTAAATCCTTTGTTTGTTTACCTGGCAGTGCGCGAATTTCCGGGGACTGACTCATTTTATATGAGGTTAATTCTCTTGTTCATGACACCTTCCTGCCGCTCGTACACGAATGAGCCGCTGTTATGACAACACACACACACCACGGGCAGAGAGACGGCCGGATGGGCGCACTCACTCACACTATACGCTTAGTGAGTGCGAGGTGAAAGGGGACAGGGGGGGGGGGAGGAGGAGAGGTTCCATAAAAACGAGTGCGGTCATTAGGCTTCCCCGATGCAGTATATTTGCACAGCAAAGAGACAATGGGCACAAAAGCACCTCGCGGGTGACGCGTAGGCGCGCGGGGCGTAGGGGGGTCTTCCAGCGCGGGCCCATTCAGCGAGAGGTGTGAGGGAGCGAGTCGCACTGTGCTCTCTTTTCTCCGCTCCCTCTCTCTCTGTCGCTCCTGCTGCTGATGCTCATTGGCACGAGCCATTTGCTGATTGAATGGCAAACCTCTCTCTCGCGGCGCCTCTCTCCACACCACCAGCGGCACAGGCCGCTCCTGGCGCCCCCCCCCCCTTCCCCTTTCCCGGCGCAGCGGGCGCGCACAGCAGCAGCGGCTTTTGTATTTTTGTCTATCTGTCGGAGATCGCCATTGTGCGCGTCATACCGTGTCACACCGCGCGAATAGTGGCGCGGCGTGCGCGCACCATTCTCTCTCTCTTATATATTTTTTTGAAAGGCAGGGAATGCAAGCGCCTGATGAGAGAGAGAGAGAGAGAGAGCGAGAGCGAGAGCGAGAGAGAGAGAGAGAGAGAGAGAGAGAGAGAGAGAGAGAGAGAGAGAGAGGACAGGAAAACGCCACCGACCACATCATGCCGGTGAAAATGTTAACAAAAAATTCCACGCGTGTGTATTTTTTCCGATGCGGTTCCGAGTATAGTTTTCAACAATGTCGCTGTTTACCATTTTCAAATAACCTTGTAAATACCGCTTAATTTTTTTGAAAATCATAGAAAAAATATTGTTATTAACAAACAATTTTTTTGGCAGTGATTTCACGAGTTTTGATTTGACAAAATAAGAGCGACTCTTTGTTTTGCCGCGCCCTTCTCTCTCTCTCTCTCTCTCTCTCTCTCTCTCTCTCTCTCTCTCTCTCTCTCTCTCGCACGCTCTTGCAGCCGTGACGTGCAGCGCCCCGATTCATGACACTGATAATAATGCTAATAACACGTGTTTGTAATGAGCAGGTGGACCGGTGACAGAGTCATGACAGAGTCGCTCCTCTTTAACGCCTCTTTCCCACACTCTGACAGCGCGCTGCTTCTGACCCCAATGCTGCTGCACCACAAAGAGCGCGGTACAGCACGCTGTGCAGTCATCAGCATGACCGCTGCTGTAGTGACGGGTCCGATAAAAAAGCAAACTAGGCGCTGTCCACCGAATTCGAACGCGTCAGTGAAGTGTCTGTGTTGGTGTGGCATTGTCGCGTGACACGGCTGCGGTTTGGAACACTTTGGCCGTGAAGTCATAGAGCACCGGAAAAACAAAGGTGCTAAGTCACACCCTGGTCACACCGTCGGTGGGGTGCCGAAGAAATTTTAAGTGGAAATCGGTGCCTTCGGCAGTTTTAATGCCTTTTGGGAAGGCGTGAATGCTCAAGAAACTAATAAGCCCTTAGCTGCCCGCCCTTAGCATATTTAAAGGCGTGACTTTCACACCTTTTGTTTTACCATTATGAGTTGAACAAATGCCATGCTGGTTTGTGAAATCTACGGAATAATGGTTTGCTATGGCCTACTGTTAACCCCGGTTTTGGCATACACCTCTGTCGGTCTTCTCTTCAATTCGCGGAGGTAGGGTCCCGTATGTGGGAGGTGTGGAAGAGTTTTGGGGCCGTTTGATATCTCTGCATATGTGCAGCTGCTAGCACGCGTCCACACGTCCGTCCGCCGGCCGCGCTGCGCCAACACAAACCATTAGCGACAATGGCCGCTCAGCGCTGCTCAGACAATGGGAGGTGCCAAACATTTGACACTCTGAGAGGAAAGGTGAACAATCGCGAACAATTGGCTTTTACAGCTGGGGAGAATGGAATCGGCGGGAATCGGGCGCGGCGTCGGGAGCCGCCGGCCGCCGCCGGCAAAAGATTTTTCGATCCCATCTGCCTTGACCTGAGCGGGGGGGCCGGGGGGCTGTGCGCAAATGAAATGCGGCCGTGCGGTGTCGGGGGACGCCGGGCCCAGCGCTGTGACAGCCCATTGTCCACCCCCTCCGGCGGCTGCTTGCCGGACGGTCCCTCTCAGCGCCTGATGGGCCTTTCTTATAGGCCTCACCCCTGGAGACCTTGGTTGCCTCCAGGCTCCAGAGATTCAGATATTATTATGTCAGCCGGGCTGGACGGACCTGTGCTGTGGACCTTTTGAGGGGCGGAGCGAGAGAGAGAGAGATGCTGCACGTGTTTGGCGTGCAGGCCATTGTCTACCGCCGCGGCCAGCTGCTGCCGGGGCCTTAGGAGGGGCGTGGCCCTGCCCTCCTGCAGCCTGCAGGCGAATGGCGACGCCCTGGCTCCAGCCCCCTGTTAGCGAGCCGCTGTTTTCCTCCGTCTGGTTTGAGGCGCAGCGGCGGCTGACTGAGTTCCCAGTACCCTTTCACCTCTACCGCTGACTCTCGCTGACCCTGTGTGGATGGAGACGGCGTAGGCGGTAGATGCGGTATAGTACACTAACTTGAAGTTTTTGTCCTTTTCAGAAACTGCGAGTGCACTTGGTTGTACCACAATGCCGAAGTGTACATTGTGCCAAGAGACAGCGGGTAAACCTTCTGGGCAGTGTACGGCCTGCGAGAAGAAGTTTGAAACTAGTCCGGGAGTGTCAGACGAGCAGTCTCAAATCCACCCGGGAGGAAAAAAGTATGTATGTCCTACGTGCCACAAGGAATTTAAGACCGGTCCGGAGTTTGGCATTCATGAACGATCCCACTTAGAGGAAGTGCATGGGTGTACTCTGTGCGAGAAGAAATTCAAGTACGGCTGGAAGTTGCTCTTTCATCTCAGAAGTCACATCCGAAAGAAGCCCCTCGAGGTGACTGTGTGCGGTCGGAAATATTGGACCAGCACGGAGATGCATGTGCATGGTTTGCAACGAGGGGGCAATAACTCCGGGAATCATGTGTACACCTGTCTGGGAATCATCAGGTTGAAAATTGATCAAAATCAATAGAAATCGCTGAGAATAAGCGGGAAACTAGAGAAATAAGTACAAATCAGTCGAAATAAGCGTTTTATACCACTTAAACCCCCCGAAAAACCTAGGTAATAATTATAAGCGGACGGGAATCACCGGGAATCAAGAATTTCGGGAATCATGTGTACACTTCAGAAGGGAGTTATTGCCCCCTCGGTTTGCAAACTCTCACTGGAGAGAAGCTTTATGGTTGTACTGTTTGCCGCAAGACATTTAAGACTGATTCAAGTTTGCGCATGCATTTCCAAGTTCACACCGGAGAGTTGCCTCATGCGTGTTCTGAATGTCACAAGAAATTTGGGTCCAGAAAGGCTCTGCGCGGTCATCTCCGAACTCACCTCGAAGAAACGCATAAGTGTGCTGAATGCAATAAGAAATTTAAGACCATTTCGGATTTGCGTCAGCATATCCTAGCTCACGCGTTGCCCCAAGAGTGTTCTAAATGCAACAAGAAATTTAAGACCAGCTCACAGTTAACCGTTCATCAAAGCAGGTTTCACAAGGAGAAGTCTCATGGGTGTACTCTTTGCAGCCAGAAATTTGCGACAAGTTCACAGTTGGCCATTCATCAAAGGTCACACAAAGATAAGTCTCATGGGTGTACTCTGTGCACTCAGAAATTTAAGACCGGTTGGATGCTGCTCTTACATCTCCGTAAACACATAGGAGAAAAGCCTCACGAAGTTACTGTGTGCGGTAAGAAATTTACGACCATCACAAAAGTGCCGATTCACTCCCGCACTTCCACCGAAGAAAAGCTTCATGGTTGTACTGTGTGCAAAGAGAATTTTACTACCAGTTCGGATTTGCTGCTGCATTTCGTAGACCACACTGGAGAATTGCCTCATGCGTGTACTGATTGCGACAAGAAATTTAAGACCCGTTGGGAGTTTGGCGTCCATCAGCAATCACACATTGAGACTCCTCAGTGGACATTGGTATAGCCATCGACTCCTTCACCAAAGTGAACCATTTGAGTGTACTGATCGAATGCTAGAAGAATTTAAGCCCGATTCGGAATTGAAGAATTGGTGGTTTGGTATGATTGATTAAACATGCTCAACACATTTTTATACATTTTATCGACATTTTACGTCTCTATTTTAGAAGTGTTTAAGAATGTATGTGTGTTATCGTGATTTGTTTTTTTTGTTTGTGATTATATCTACATTAAAATAATCAAGACCTACTTTTTGTTCCTAATTTTTTTTCGCGACCTCTGACTCTGTGTGCTTTCGCTTTGACCTATACGAGAAGCCTGCCTTGCAGTGCAGCCCGAGTCACCGGTGCGTCCAAACAAGGGGCAAAGTAAGATTTCTGGCTGATCAGCCAAAATTATACGTTCCCTCTTTTTTGACCTGGTTCCGCCCCCTGTAGCGTCAAAAACTTGCTCGGAAATGAAATCAGGAAGTCTTGGAACCTCTCTATGCCAAACTTAACGCGAATCACCCCAAAATGTTATTTTACCCCCTTTTTTTGGACAGGTTCCGCCCCTGTGTCGTCAAAAATTTGCTTGGAAATTAAATGAGCATGTCTTGAAACCTTTTGATGCCAAATTTGACGTGAATCAGACAAAAATCTCATTTCACCCCCCGTTTTTGAACTGGTTCCTCCCCAACGGCGTCAAATTTGCTCGGAAATGAAATCAGCACGCTTTGAAACCCTCTAGCCCCGAGTATACGACAGTACGAGGTTTATCTCTGAAGTAACAGAAAATATTTAATGGAAAAACGGATAAATTTGTGCTTATTTAAACAATTTTTTCGAGAAAACGAGCACGTACGAGCACGAGCGGTCTATTGTTCCGTGACCTTGCGTCATTGGACTGTAAGATAGCGTTAGTAGACTCACCTTCGCCAAACTTGGCCAAAAAAAAAAGATCAATGTTCAAGATTCAAAGTTGCAAGAAATAACAGTTTTGGCATGTCCTTTTTCCTTCTCCAGGACTCACCCATGTCCTCAACTGAACGAAACGACACCTCAGGCGTGTTCCTTAGGTCCTAATCTTTACATTGATTTTAGAAACTTGTGCCTCAACACGGAGAAACACACACACACACAAACACACACACACAAATGCCAAATGAAATATTGCTTCGAAATCACTTTGCCTTTTCCTCAAAAATAACAGTTATTGAACCGAAAAAAATTACTATAGTCTGCAGCCGAGTCTGCGGTCCCCGGGCTGGTTTTAGGTAGAGGGGACAATCATAATTCAAACTCGACTGTCGAATTTCGCCACATTAAGTTTCTAAAAATGAGGGTTTTGGCCACTTTTTGACGGTTTCGGCCCATTGTGCGCAGCGGTGGCTGACTGAGTTCCCAGTACCCTTTCACCTCCACCGCTGACTCCTCGATGACCCTATGGGTGGAGACGGCGTAGGTGGTAGATGCGGTAGTATACTAACGTGAATTTTTTGTCCTTTTCAGAAACTGCGAGTGCACTTTGTTGTACCACAATGCCCGAGTGTACATTGTGCCAAGAGACGGCGGGTAAACCTTCTGGGCAGTGTACGGCCTGCGAGAAGAAGTTTATAACTAGTCCAGATTTTCTCACGCATTTTCAAGCTCACACGGGAGAGTTGCCTCGTTCGTGTTCTAAATGTCACAAGAAATTTAGGTCCAGAAGTGCTCTGCGCCGTCATCTCCGAACTCACCTCCCAGGAAAGCATAAGTGTGCTGAGTGCAACAAATCATTTAAGAGCAGCTCACAGTTAAGCGTTCATCAAAGCAGGTTTCACAAAGAGAAGCCTCATGGGTGTACTCTGTGCAGCAAGAAATTTGCGACCAGCTCAGAGTTAGGCATTCATCAAAGGATACACAAAGATAAGTCTCATAAGTGTACGCTGTGCATTCAGAAATTTAAGACCGGCTGGATGCTGCTCTTGCATCTCCGCAAACACATTGGAGAAAAGCCTCACGAAGTTACTGTGTGCGGCGAGAAATTTACTACCATCACGAAATTTCCGATTCATTCCCAAACTTCCACAGAAGAGAAGCCTCATTGGTGCCCTGTGTGCATCGAAAAATTTACAGCCAGCTCGAAGTTGCTGATGCATTTCATAGACCACACAGGAGAGTTGCCTCATGCATGTACTAACTGCGACAAGAAATTTAGAACCCGTCGGGAGTGTAGCGTTCATCAACAATCACACATTGAGACGCCTCATTGGGAATTCGTATAGTCATCGAATTCTTTACCAAAGAAAACCATTTGAGTGTACCGATCGAATACTACAATAATTTAAGCCCGATTCGGAATTGGGGAATTGGTGGTTTGGTATGATAATATTGATTAAACATGTAAAACACATTTTAATACAATTTATCTCGCTATTTTTAAAGTGTTTAAGAATGTATGTTTGTCATCGTAATTTTTCTTTGTTTCTGATCACGATCGTGTTTCTGATTATATTCTCATTAAAATAATCAAGACCTACTTTTTGTTCCTAATTTTTTTTTCGCCTCTTCTGACTCTGTGTGCTTTCGTTCTGACCTACGAGAAGCCTTTGCTTGCAGTGCAGCCCGAGTCACCGGCGCGTCTACCTTTGCCCAGAACTCCTGGTCCGATATTGGCCTGGGGCTCAAGACGCGACGTCGGACATTCGCGGCCCCCCCCCCCTTCTCTCTTTTTTCCGCGCCCTTGTGTATTTGGGGTCAGAGGGCTGCTGGCGGGCCTGGTCCCATTCAGGCACTGGGCCATTCTTTTTCCTCTCCTTCCGACAGAATCGGATTTGGTGGATTTGGATTACTATGTGATCGAGTCTGGCCCTGAGGGGCGTGGGGTTAATCTGACTGGGGCGGTGGAGGGGCGGGGGGCGAGCCGAGGGTGCATGTGAATAACCCCCATATGCATATTGGTCGATCGACGGGAGTGATACGCTCCCTGCAAATCCTTTAGCCCCCTATTCATGTGAGTATAGACCCTTACGCCCCGAAACCACGCGCGTGCATCACTTGTGTGCTGACATGCTTGTTATTTCTTCTGTGAAAGTCAGCAAAATGTCATTCAGATCCGCAGTAATTTTTTTTCATTTTTCAAATAAAAAGTCCGTGTGGCTGGGTCTGTAAGCACGGCATGGACAGTTCACACTTTGTGCCCGCCGGGCGCACAATGGTCGCGTTTTGTCGCCACCGACCAAGCCACGCCACGCTACACTACCGGTCGTGCCACTGGGAAATAAAACGCCTGCAATCAGCGTTCTGCGTGGTACAGTTTCTCGCGCTGTATCCGGGGAGGTGTAGTTGATCTGGAATTCCCCCTTCCCCGTTATCCCCCTCGCTGCACAGGACGGGCGCCTGCTATCCATCCCCAACCCCTGGGGCCAGGGGGGTCGCAAGTGCTCTGTGTCTCGCTTTTGTCTTCGCAACAAACACATTCTATCTCCCTCGCACTCCCTTATTATTGGAGCACAATGTGCCCCGCCGCAGTGTTGGCAGTAGTGGTGGGCAGTACGCTCGGCTGCACAACAGCTTTGTTGCGAGACGAGGACGGTTCAATTTCGAACCTATAGCCACTCAAAATGTTGCCGTTGCCGTGCGATGCAGTGCGTTTTAATGTAACATCTTGAAATGAGGCGATATGTAGGTCACTGTTTTAATTTCGTCTTACCTGCTGGGCACTCGTAGCTTCCCTCTACATTGTCGAAGAGAGGAGTCTTCTGAAAGCGCCAGTCCGGGAGGCTCAACTCCCGATAAACTGCCAGCACACTACAATGCCAAGTGCTGTCTGATAATAGCAGTGCTTACGCTTTTATTCGGTTGCATTATGCAGCATGTACGGACTGTTGCATGTGCGGCGAATTATTGACCTTTCATAATACAAGTAGGGATAAGAAGATGGGTGCCGTGATGACCCTCTGGAAATGCGTATACATCCCAATTTGCACTGCTGCTGATGCAAATGTGTGAACCGTTAAAATAGGGTAGCAATAATGAGGTTAGTCGTTCGTCTCATGTCTTGATCAGCTGTTTTCAGCTCTCCCACCAAACGGGTGCAAAAATATTGGCGTCCTCTGACGTGGTCGAAATAATGCCCGAAGTACGCACAATTTTGTCGTTCCACGACGCCAACATTTGGCGTCCTTTGGAGGACGCCAATATTTTGGTGTTAAAAGACGCCATCCAGTTTGCAGTGAAAGTAGGACTCAACACTCTTTTTGCGGTGCAACAATGACTTGCCTCTTTACAGGCATAAAAAATGGCACTCCCGGAAAAGAACTGAAACGTCCCAAGGGGGCTAAATTTCACTTCGGGACACTTTTGAGCCTTTGTAATGGCACACTAAAATTTAGCACCTTGAAAAGGTCCTAATACCTTTATTTTCCCAGTGTGGCGATTGCTTTCGCTTCCGAAGCTCATTGCACACGACTCAATATGAACATGTGTATACTCCGTTTTGTTAATGGTGTTTGCACGTCGCTTTGCATCAAAAGTTTTGATTGCGATGCCCGTCGGACTTTCCGGACCATGAGGCGAAGACAATGCACATGTTGCAAGTGTGTGTGTGTTTGTGCGTGTGTGCGCGTGTGTGTCTGAGCGCGCGCGTCTGCTCTTTCGCGCTCCCCCTTTTTTCGCTTTTGACATAATGGTGGGCAATGGCCTGCAGCTGTTTGCCGCGATTCTGGGTGCAAACAACCAACAATCGCCCGTCGGGCAGCGGCTCCCGTCGCAGATTGACCGAGAAAATCTCTGCTGGTCGCTCCCCCCTCCCCCCCCCCCCTTTCCTTTTCCCTTTTCCTCTCTTGCCTTGCTAGTCGTCTTCTCTCTACGTTCCTGGAGAAATTTGCAGGCCTAGGAAATGGTTTATTGGATTTGAAGAAAGGTACTATCATCATTGAGATTAATAAAATCTTATTGAGCTGTAAATCCAATTTGTTTTCGTTGTATTGGAAACTGCAAAATTTTCTTGAAACAAAGGAAACATTCTTGCGTCTGTCCAAAACTTTCAGTTTACGAAAATTGTAGATCGCTCCGTTTTGTAAGGTTGCTTGCTGCACTCTTTCACCCTCCTCTTGTGCGACTGGCCGCCTCCCTCTCCCCGCACCCCATATTTTTCGTGTCCGCCGCGGCCCCCCCGTTTTGTTTAGATGAGGGGAAATAATAAAAGTTATTGCCCGGAAGGAGACAAAGATGTGGGAATCGCACAAAAACGGGTGTGGGGGATATTAGGCGAAGGCAAAGGCATAA